AATCTTACATCATTGCCTTTTCTCTTTTACTTTCCTTTTTAGTTTTAGGATTCCCTATTTTTAATGTTCATACAGTGATTTCTTTAACTGAAATACCAAATAGTTTCTCTGGTGTGAAAAACTATAATAGTACACAGGATCTTAATGAGATAATTCATAATGTGAAATAGGAAGTAAAGGGCTAAAGGTGTAGGGAAAGTGGGAAGGGTGGGGGAAAGGTAATAAGGGAGAGGAAAAAATACGAGAGATTGAAAAAATGGAAATAAAGTGTTTGTAAATAGGGAGGGGAGGAGGGGGTGAAGGGGGGCAGGGACAAGGGGAAAAAATGAGAATCAAGACCTATTATGTAAAGGTACAGGATCCCAATAATGAATTTAACTATTGTATACCTAAAATGTGCCAATAAACTCAATAAAAAGAAAAATAATAATAATTTGGCTATCAGCACCTTGGAAAAAAACTAAGAAAGCTCCAAGCCCTTCTCAATAAAAAGAATGTATTCCTAAACTCATAAACCTGGTATTAGAAACTACATTCTGCATATCATTAAACTTCTTGGTTCTTGTGTGTGAGATGGAGCTTGCCACCTACTAAGCATTGTGTGAATATTTGTGGAACCATTGGGAGCATTTTCTGACAATCTGCTTTTGTGATTTTTTTTCTTTGTGTTCATATAACTTCACTTGCAAAGTGCTTTCCCCTAATGTACTTAACTTACTGTTTTCTTGTCAGTATCTTGAGTTTTAAACTATGAAATTTGCCAGGTGGGCACTTGTGATGTTTAGTCTTGATTGCCAACTCAATTGTGTGAAAGCACATTTCAGAGATCATAGAGGCGTGACCTTAGGGACTATATCTTGTCCCTGGCCCCTTCTTCTTGGGTGTTCTTCCCCTGTGCTGTGCTTCCCAGATGCCATGAAGTGGGCATCTTTGCCTCACCACGCTTTCTAACATGACCTTTGTGCTCTGGAGAGTCAGCTATGACTGAATCCTCTGAAACCGAGAGCCAAATAAGCCTCTCCTTTGAGTTGTAAGTCCTGGGCTTTTTTTTATTATTTATTTTTTTTGAGACAGAAACAACAGAAAATCTGACCAATCCAGAAAAATTAATACAAGAACTGAGGATGTTGCTGTGATGATATCTGACCATGTGGAACAGAAGCCTTTGGACCTGCTTTACAGAAATTTGGAAAGGTTTAGAGGTGCAGGTTAGACAAGCCCTAGAATGCTGGGAGCAGAGATAGATAGGTTATTATGGTGGGAGATCAGAAGACCAGAATGCTGATAAATATGTGGATAGTAAAGAACGTGCTCATGAAGTTTCAGATGGCAACAAGGACTATATTAAAACTTGGACTAGCGGTTATGCATACTCTGGCAAAAAAAAAAAAATTGTCTACATCTTGCCTGTGTCCTAAGATTGTGTGAAGCTAAATTTATTTATTTATTTTTCATTAAGTTTATTGGTATATTTTGAATAGCATGACACTCATCATTGGGAATTTGTACCTTTATATGATATATCTTGGTTCTTTTTTCTTTCTTTTTTTTTTTTTTTTTTTTTTTTTTTTTTTTTTGGTAGTGGGGATCAAACTTGGGACCTTACACTGAAGCAACAGGCAGCGAAACCACTGAGCTAAATTTCCAGTCCCTATCTTGGTTCTTATTTTTTCCCCATTCTCCTGTGAAGCTCATTTTAAAGGTGGTGGCTTAATTGATCTATCTGGTGGAGGAAATTCAGGGCAGCCCAGTGTTCAGTTTGTGGCATGTTACTGCTAACTGCTTTTAGCCAGATTTATAATGAAAACTGTAAGCCAAAAACAGATTTGCAAAACTTAAAATTTAGCCTGAAAAGAAGCATGTAAAGTTGAGGGCAAAAGTAGTATAATTGCTGAAGAGCTTAGCATCCGAACAAGAAGAAAGATGCCTTGAATTGGCAAATAAACCTCTTCTCCCCCCATTGTAGGCCCCAAGGATGTAATAGTGTTAACTTTTCATTTGCAAAAAGAGTCCCTATGCCCCCTGCTGGAGTAGGGCTGTCTATGGAATTGGTTCCCTGGGGTGCATTTCATTGAGCTCAGTTATCCAGTCACCCAGATGCTGCTGCAGCCATGGTCCAGTGGAGCCCAGGTACTGCTTGCCCTGGTGGCAAACTTTGGCATTGTCCATATGATGCTGGCTTTTCAGAAATGCAGAATATAAGACTGCTGGCGTCGTGGAGGCTTTCACCCAGATTTCAAAGAAATGCCTAGAAGGTTAGGAAACATGCCCCTAAGATGGCGGTGTGTGAAGTTGTAGAAGTAGGATCAAAACTTTAAGGGAGACCTTAGGAAGTTGAAGAAGCCAGGAGCATGGAATACCTGCTGAGAAAAGCTTCAGGTAGTGAGTAGAGCCAGCTCAAAAGAGAAGGATGGGGGCTCACACAAGCCCTCTTACAATGTGCTGTAGTTGCTGGTTGTGGAGATATGGAGCTTAAAAGTTTACCCTGCTGGATTTTGGCCTTGCTTTGGCCTGATTCCTTTCTATACCTCCACTCCTCCCTGTTGGAATAGGAATGCTTACCCTGTGCCATTGTGTTTTGGGATTATATAACTTGCTTTTTCTAAGTCTTTTTTCAAAGTCTTGTACTTTGAGCAGTTCTGGAACTATTAGGACTTTGAGGAAGAAACTGGTGCATTTTTGGTTGTTTGCAGAATAGATCACATGAGGCAAAATTATGATCTTGTTGGGTTTAGTTGGTGATTAAGGATGGTTTAAGGAGGTGTGGTTAAAGGTGGTTAATCTTAATTGTCAATTTGACTGGGTTAATAGTCTCTTAAAGAGAGTTGGATTGTGAAGGTAGTTCATAACTGAACACGCTGTTAGAAGGTTCAGCCTTGTTTGGGAAAGAAGTCGTAGAGTGTGACTTTGAGAACTATGTCTGGTCCCTGACTCTTTTTCGGTTCTGCTCTTTCCCTGTGCTCTGCTTCCCAGCTGCCATGAAATGACCCGTTTTACTCTACCGTGATCTTTTGCCATGATGTTTCTGCTTTGGCTCCAGCTGACCATGGGTCAAAATAAACCTTTCCTCCTTTAAGGTGTACTTGTTAGGTATTTACTCCCAGGAAGAAAGCTGGGCTAATACAAATTAGTATACTAAAATTGATGTCTGTTTTGCTAAGTATGACTTCTCAAATATTCCAGTATTTTGCAAAATGCTGAGGAATAAACAGACTTTTCTTTGGTAAAATTTAGGTATTATGGGACTATTTTGAGTTGTATTCTATTAGTGAAGAAATTAAAATTGGTTATCTCTATTTGGCCTTGCTTAAATAACATAGACCAGAGATGGCAAACCTTTTAGCGCTTTTGCTGATACAAACAGCTTGCTGCATCACATTTTGCCACTACTGACCTGGGCTTTGTCTCTAGTTGCTTGTCAAAAAAGCGTTATTATCAAAAAAAGCATCTGTAACATTTGGCGTAATCAAAACCTACTGCTTGTTTGCTGTCTTTTACTCTTGATTCCCCCCCGCCCTTTTCCTTGGGGTGCAGGGAGTTTATCATGGTTAGCACTTTTGGTCTTAGGATTCAGGACTTCCACTGGAGTCATATTTACTTGATGTGAAATTCTGCATTAGTTTTCTATTCTGTTTCATTAAAATCTAATTGCTTGCATTTTAATTGATTCCCCTGACACTAATAAATTTCCTATAGTTCTTTTCTATGGAATTGAAATCACCATCTGTTTTGCCTGTCAACATGGGAGAGTTCTGTGTGAATTCATATTTTTGTGCAAATGAACATTATGAACATTTTTCCCCTTTTTGAAAGATTGAGCCAAGCATACAAAGTTTTAGAATGATGGCTTCCATTATTCTCTGATCACAGGTATTCCTTTAGGCAAATCCAATTTTTTATTAACTCCAGTTGCTTGGGTTCTCTTAAATTCATTTAAAACTTCACATTTCTCCTGTGTTGCAGAACTTGCTTCAACTCCTTATTAAATTTGTTGTTTAAGAATTTTGCTTATTTTTCTTAGGCAAGTTTAAAAAATGACAGCTGTGTCATAGTACGCAGAAAGCAAGTGCTCTGGGTTATTTAAATTGGGTTAAAATATGCCAGGGCTATGGTGTCAGTAATATCAAATATGAAGCTCTTTTCCTCTAGGCTCTCAAAAAAGTTAATTTAAAAAAAATGACACTTTTCCATTCAAGTGGATGGCTTTTTTTTTTTTTTTTTTTTTTTGATTTTTTTTTTTTTTTTTTTTTTAGGACATATGCTATTCAGTCTCTAAACGGTTTTAAGTATCTGATTCTACATCAGAAGGGAGTTAGGTTGGTTTACTGAAAATCTTTATTGGAGTGCCTTCATAGAATGTGGGTGTGTTTATGTAGATTTATTATAATTTTAACCATTAATTATAAGTTTAAATTAGCATACTTGGTTTGTAAATTTCATGTTTCCATTAGAACATTTTGAAAATACTGCTTAAAAAATTAAATGTTGCTCTCATTTGAACCAAAATGTGGAATGTTGATTCTGTGATTATTCCAGTCAAATTGAGAGAAGGGAACTAAGGGAAAGATTTAGGCTCCTGGCCCTCACTTTCTTTTCTCTTCTCTTCTTTTTTCTCCTCCTTCTCCTTTTTCTTTTTTTGGCACTGGGGATTTAATCCAGGAACTTTACACCAAGCTACATTCCTGCCCTTTTTAATTTTTTTATTTTGAGACAAGATCATACTGTGTCACTAAGTTGTCCAGACTCTACTCAAACTTAGGATCCTCTTGTCTCAGCCTCCCAGAGTACTGTGATTTTAGGTGTGTGTGCCACCATGCTTGACTTGGCTCCTGCCTTTTGGCCTAGTGCTCCTGGGTTCTGAGAGGGAATGCCATCTGGGAGCCTCTGACAGGATTGCCATGTTAGACTCTGAGGGGCCACTGGAATCTTGGATAATTTCAACATCATGATTTGTCCCAAAGCTTCATTTATTGATTTTATTTTGATCTTTGCAATTTCAGAGCAATAAACTAGAGGAGAAAAAGCTAATTCAAGAAAAGCTCAGAAGAGAAGCACTTAGGAAGCATCCCCAATAGTGAGTATGTTTTCAGAACTTGGTACATTGGTAGGCATTGTATTCATTCATTCAGCTTTTAAATTGTAGATGATGGTAACTTTTCAAATACCTGGTACAGTATTAGTTTATTGACTGTTAATTATGTTACTGAACTCTGTCATCATTTGAAGCTCTAACATTGGAGACATTTATACTCTCCAAAGGACTCTTTAATAGTTGACTAGCAATATTAGTACTAAATTTCAGGAATTCGCCATGATAAGTAACTTGGAGACCTTGACTTTTTGGTAATCCAAGGTAGCAGTATAAGGAGAGTGATTGAAATGAAATACCCAAGAAGGATCTAAACTAACTAGGGATTTATCTAATGTGCAGAGGACTGTTATTCTATTGTACTTCATTCTAATCAAAAGTTCAGATAACATTTAGCACTAATTGTTAAAACTTCCAATTTGTGGACACATGTCAAGATAATTTATATAATATGATTTATAAATAGCAGCAGTTAATATGTGTTGCCATAGTAGGGCAATTACTATTTTATAATGTAGATATTATACTCCATTACATAGCCTTCGAAGATAAGATCACATACTAGCTCTTGGTAACTAGGTTACCTGAACTTTGATTAAAAGAAGACAAGAACAAAGAACCATATTTCTGATCCTACATTCTAAATGTCATAGAATTTAGGTATGAGATAGGCAGCATGGGGAACATCTTAGGCTCACAGCAAACAGGATGCCTTATAGCATTTGGAGACCATAAGATCATCCTGCCCTAACGACACTCCCTGGTACCAGGCATGAGCCTGAGGGGTAGGTGCTGTGTTGAGAGTCATTTTAGGTGACTCCAAAGCCATTATAATAGCATTATGGTCTTGACTCTCCCAATGGGCTTGGCCTACCATGGTGGTTTAACAAGGCCCATATAAATTCAGAAGCTCCTTTGGACATGAGGATGGAAACTCACCATTAATTGGGAGAATCCTTCCTAGATACCAACCCAAACCCTAAAACTCAGAAAAGGATCCAGTAAAAAAAAAAATCTTAAAACCAAAAACAGAAGGGATCCTCTGAGTCAAACCTACCTTTAATCTTCATTATTGTCCTTTTCCCACTCTATGAAGCATACTTTTGCTTTAATAAGGCCTATACTTTCATGCTTTTTCTGTATGTCATTCTCAGTTGCTTGTTTAAGATACAAAGAGTCTGTATACCTTGTGGGACAGAAACAACCCATCCAGTAACAGAATTAGAACTAAGCAGATCTGGGTTCAAAGTCCTAGTTTCAATCCTCTGTTGTGATCTTGAACTCTTTAAACTTTGGTTTTTGATTCATTTGACTTTCACTTTGAAAATAAGGATGATAATATCTATCCCATAGGCTAATTATAAGGATTAAGGATAATATGTTATATCAATGGCATAAAAGTACCTATTATATGGACTTGAAATAATTTTCTTACAGAGTTCCTTGTTGGATGGGATTATACAACATTATTTTGGAGAGACTGTGTATAGATTTCTGGTCCCACCAGAACTAGCAGTTGACGACCCTCTTTCCTATGCAATGTTCATTAACTGTTTCCTATTCTCCCTTCCCTCCTGTTGTCCCTCATTTACAGAATTTCAGGTCACTAAGGTGTTAAGTTGCACAGCTATGTGACACCTTAGAATGTATTCCTTTTTTAAGTGTCACATCCTCCACTTTTCTCATAGCATTGGCATTATCCTGCCTCTATCATAAGCAACTGCTTCTTGCTTTAAGACTCAGACAAGAGTGGAAAATAAGTTTCTTGGCCTTCTACATTGCTTTTTAGCAAGATAAGTAATTGACATCTGCTATCTGGGTCAGAAAACCGGTGGGAGATGGGACAGAGTAGGACGGAGGGATTAAAGATTGATGTTATCTTCAGTATTACTCTCAGTCACAGAATGTGAAACCTGTCTCTCCCTACTCTCCCTTGGGAAAGAGGAAGCTGAATAGCGTGAGAAACCATCTTGAAAAGACTTGTGGCCAGAGGGAGGCAACAGGTTGAGGGTGTTGATGTATTATTGCCTCAATTTTCATGAATAGAGAAAAATGAGGATTTATTTCTTGGTCCGGCCTGAAGAGTTGAGGGAGATAAGGATTAGAGGCTTCAGTTATGTAGAGTCACATATGAAAGCAAATACAGTTATTCTGTGGCATACTAGTTTTACATTAGAGAAGGGAAGACTACTTCCTGGTGAGAGGTCTTAAGTTCAGGACTGGGAAGTTAAACTAGTCCATCCTCTGGAGAGTTTGAAGCAAAGCAAGGTGAAGGATGAGAGATTCTTAGAGTTTTCAAATGTTGGAGGTTGTGCTGCTCAGTCTTCTTTCTTTCATAGACTTCCAGCTTCTTGAGTTTTTGTTTTACTAAATATATTAAAGATCAGTCACCTTTTTTTTCCTGTAAAGAAGAAAAAAAAGTTTTGGCCTTAGCCACTTCACATACACACTATCAGAGGAGTTCAATTCAATTACATGCACATTTCACTCTTGCTCTTGCTTCTGCTTATCATGAAAGTGCCAGTTAACCAGGAAAAAGAGAAGTTGACTAAGAATGAGAAGTATCTCAAATTGATTTTTAAAGCCTGTTGAGAAACACAAGAAGAGATATATGTGTGTAAGCTTTTTTCTTTTAAAAGCATTGTGCTTGGAATTACTTTGAAATTAAAAGGCCAACAGCTCATGAAATGAATGACCATTATATAGCTTGAAATATGAAAGGAACTTCTTAGAAAATGTGGATTTTCTATATAACAAGTTTTTATTGTACTTTCTAAGAACCAGTTTATGGTAGAAAAAATTTTTTCTAGGAAAGCTGTTAAGAGTTTTTAACAGCACAAAGATTTTACTAGACCAACCAGACTGCCTGCCCCCTACCTCTCCAATTAGATTCTCCTGAAGCTGTAGAGTGAAAAAACACAAAATAGAGACCCAAATAAGAAATTGTTTAGAATGAGTCAACACCTTGCTAGTTTCTGCATGCTGTGATGTACATGGTTCAAACAGCAGACCAGGAATCATGTGTCTTTCCTGTGGAGAAGGGCAGCCATGGGCTTGAACAGACTTTAAATCTAGGGTGCTAGACAAAAAGCACAGGAAAGCCACCTGGGGCAGCACCACGCGAATCATCTTACTGTGCTCTTTCTTCACACCTTGTTCCTGACTCTGTTCATTTGCTTCTGATTATTTTTAGTGTTGTCAATTATTTAGCTAACAGGCAGAAAACTAGGCTTTTATTGACATCCGAAGGGACTCTCCTGAGTGTAATAATGAAGGCAGTTTATTGAATGCCTGTGAGGTTGCTTTCTAATTGTACGCATTAATCTGCCCATGCAAGCTGGCTGAAAATACACAAGCAGATTGCACATGCAGATGGAGCACACAGGATGGTTTTTATGGAAAGACCTCTGGAATGTACTTCTGCAGTACTGTCTTTTCCTTAAAAATCGAATGACTGTGACTATTTCAATTGGCGGCTGAGAGCAGGCCAGATTAATGATGCATTGAGTCTGCCACTCTGGCTGGGGACTGACTCCAATTTCACAACTCAGAATTAGTTCTAGGATTCTTGAGCCTGAAAATGAATGGTAGAAATGGGCACTTAAGCTTTGTGTAGTTCTCACCATTACTTTTAATCTTTTTGGCTGTTTACTGCTTATAAAAGCTCACGCATGGTGCTTTTCAGGATGGCTCTTATATTAGTATTATTGATCTGAAGTAATAATTAAAGTTATCAAAAGGAGGATGTTGTGACTTGGGCTATATAAAATATTGAGTAAAATATCTTAACCTTTTAAAGTTTAAATAATAATTTACTTAGGGAGATATAGTCATCTTTTGTTTTCTCATTGAGTTTATTGGTACACTTTAGGTATACAGTACAGTTAGGTTCATTATTGGGATCTTGTACCTTTACATGACAGGTCTTGGCTCTCATTTTTTCCCCTTGTCCCTGCCCTCCCTTCACCCCCTCCTCCCTTCCCCATTTACAAACACTTTATTTCCATTTTCTCCTATTTTTTTATTTCCCTTATTACCTTTCTCCTACCCTTCCCACTTTCCCTACACCTTTAGCCCTTTTCTTCCTATTTCACATTAACCAGCATGTTTTGATTACCTGCTGTGTGTAAACTGCTGTTAAGGACCAGGGATGCCTTCACTCTTTGTTTATTACTCAAACAGCTTATTTCACTGTAGTTGTGGTTGACATGAAATGGTAAAATATCAAACATGCCAGAAACACTCCTGCTAGTTAATGCCAGGAAGAAGTCACTGGCGTGTTCCAAATCCTCCTTTGATCTTGTTGTACCCATTCTCCTTGGTAGAGCCCCCATCTGCTTATGAAGAGCCCTTTTGTTTTTTGAACTCTAGAGACCCATTTCACTGTGGATGACAATGCAGAGAAAGCCTCCACATTTTTCAGTTCATAGTTTAGTTCTCTGTGAATGCCTTCTTGTTACTGAGCAGAATGTAAGGTGTGCCCTCTCAAAACCAGCTGCTACCATATCCTTTTGATATGAGTCACTACCCTTCATGGTGGCCTAGCTGATGTCTGATAACTATTGTCAGACAAAATGCTTTACTCCAGAATGTTTTATTTATGGTAAACCAAGTCTGAGAATCTTAGGAACACAAGTCTCTTTGTGGGTAGGTGTTGTTTATCAATTAATTTTATTTATTCTTTCAAAAAACCAACTCTTCGATTCATTTATTTTTTGTATTGTTTTCTTTGATTTCTGCTCTTTATAATTTCCTCTCTTGTTCGAGCTTTGAGTTTTTCTTGCTCTTGTTTTTCTAGTAGTCTCAGGTTCATCATTAGGTTGTTTATTTGAGCTCACTGTGTTTTCCTAGTGTGGGCATTCAGTGCTATGAATTTCCACGTAGAATTGCTTTCATTGTGTCCCATAGATTCCTGTATGTTGTATTGGCATTTTCATTTATTTGGAAAAATTGTCTGATTTCTTCCTTAATTTCCTCTGTGATCC